AAAAAAAGCTAGATCCGCCCCTGTATATTTACAATGATTTTTTTTTAAATTGTTTAATTTTCTCTTAGAGCATTTTATTTTTTATTTGTTATAATTGTTTAATAAATAAATTTATTTTATAAATGTGTGTTAATTTCGTTAGAGTATGCTACAAAAAGAGTGCTGGATAATCATAAAAAACAAAGATATAATAAATTAGCTTCCTGAGGGTTCTATAGATGTTCAAATCTTTTTTTTTTTAATATATATTTATATATAGGGTAAAGTAGGGTAATTTCGGCAGGGAGATAATTTCGGCACCACTTCAAAAGACACCTAAAAATATTTATTTAATGAAATATCAAAAGTATAATTGAGTATTATAGAAAGATAAACAGTTTTTCTAAAAATATTGGTTTAAACTTCTATTTTTACATTATAAGTACGTTATTTTATGATTATTAGCTTTTTCTTAACATTTTTTCCTTTTAGAAAATAGAGGATAAATGATTTTTTCCGAAAATTTTTACCAAAAATTTGTATTTATTTCATTCAAAAATATACACTGAACAAAATGTGAGCAACAATAAAATTAAACTCTAAGTATTTTACAAGATATAAGAGTTTCCCCTAGGACTGCTTTAAGGAGATAATTTCGGCATATAAATAGTTCTTAATTTCGGCAGTGCCGAATTTGCCGACCTGTTGTTTCTCCAAAACTAAAATGGAAATAAGCGTTTTAAATTTTATGTATAGAAGAAATTGATTTTAGTAACTCAGATAATATTAAACTAATAACGAGTTAGTAAAAAAGTGAATTTAGTTAGTGTCACTGTGAAACTTATCAAAATAATAGTTCCCCACAATATATTTTAAATTTATGTCATACATAACAATATGTATATAATAAATTTATAATTTGTTATATACAATAATTATTATTGTATATAACAAATCATTTATTAATTATATACATACTGTTGAATATTATTGAATAATATACATATAATAATTATAATATATATATATTTATATAAATATATATGTATATATATGTATATATATATATATATATATATATATATATATATATATATATATATATATATATATATATATATATATATATATATATATATATATATATATATATATATATATATATATATTATGTATATATATGTATATATATATATATATATATATATATATATATATATATATATATATATATATATATATATATATATATATATATATATATATATATATATATATATATATATATGTAAACATTATTTTACAGCATCATATAATGAGTTCAAAACGTGTAAAATATGGTAATTGGTCACAAGAATCATTAAAACTGGCAGTAAATGCAGTTTTCGTTGATGGTTGCTCAAAATATTCTGCTGCTAAACAATATAAAAAACCAAGACAAACACTACATGGCTCTATAAAACGAGCACCTGTTGATAATTTTGTTAAAAAGTTACGTGCAGGACACCCAACAACACTCTCAGCTTTTCAAGAAAAAGAGCTCGTAGAAGTTCTTCTGACCATGTCACAGAGATTGTTTGGTTTGTCTCCAAAAGATGTAAAACAAATGGTATTTCAATTTTGTAAAGAAATTAGAATTATTCACAAATTTAATTGTGCAACTAAGTCAGCAGGAAAAGAATGGTTTAGGGGTTTTTTGAAACGCCATAATGAACTCTCTGTCAGAGTTGCTGAGTCAACGTCATTGCATCGAGCCATTGGTTTTAATAGAAACAAAGTTAATAGTTTTTACGATGAACTAGAAAAAATAATGTTTAATGCTAATATGAAGCAGATTATTCCACCATCAAACTTATTCAACGTAGATGAATCTGGATTGTCTATTTGCCATAAAGCAGGAAAAACTGTTGCTCTTAAGGGAAAACACAGTGTTGGTGGCTTCACAAGCTCCGAAAGAGGTAAAACAATCACAATAGTTTGTTGCCAATCAGCAAGCAGGTTATTTATCCCTCCAATGTTGATCAATCCACGTATTTGAGTGAAACCTGAATTTTTAGATAAAGCCCCAATAGGTTCTATTTCTGGTGGCAACAAAAATGGCTGGATAACAACTGAGTTGTTTGAAATATGTTTTGATCATTTTTTACAAGCAGTCCAGCCTCAGTCAAGAAACCAACCAGTTCTTCTAACTTTAGATGGACATTCAAGTCATAAAAAAAATCTTAGTGTTATTAAAAAAGCGCGCCACTCAAATGTTATTATTTTATCACTTCCATCCCACTGCACTCACAAACTGTAACCACTTGATGTTTCGTTTTTTAAAAGCCTCAAAATATTCTATGATCAGGAGGTTAGTACTTGGCTTCGTCACCATCCTGGTCATCCCGTAACTGAACTAGAGGTTGGTGAAATATCTATGGGAAAGCTGCAACTGTTCAAAATTGTCAGTCAGGGTTCAGGGTATAAATCTCAGCTATAAATCTCAGCTAGAGGAATCTTTAAAATTGAAATATAAGAACAGACAGCCACATAAAAAGTGCATTAAAAAAGTATATCTACTTATCAAAAGACGTGTTTGAAAAACCTTGATGCTAAAGGTGCGATTAATAAACAACTTTGTGCAAAGTGTCAATACAGTTATGGTGATCCTGTCGATCCTTATTTAAAAGATAATTGGGATAAATGCCTTAAATGCTGTAGATGGTGGCATGAAACATGTGCTGCTATATGTGGTGTTTATACTAAAAAAGTATTTACTTGTGATGACTGTATAAAGCACTGATTCTTAAAAAAAAAGTTAAATGTCATATATTGATAAAATGTGTTTTAACTTTCTTAAACTTTTTTAACAAGAGATTTATCTCTTGTTAAAAAAGTTTTCTTTGAGTTTTGTTTTTTATTTTTTTAAGTTTAACTATTGAAGTTATGTAAAATATTATTTTATGAACTACTTATGAGCTTATAAACATAAATTCTTATTTAAACAGAATTTAGAAATAATCATCGAAATCGTAGAAATTAGTAATCGTTTCATTAACAATTATACTTTGGAAGCACATTTATATTTAATAAGGTTTCTGTTTTGGGTGACATTCATACTTTAATAAAAAAGGTGACATTCATACTTTAAAAATACATGACATTCATACTTTAATAAAATAAATAGGTGGTTCAAAAATTATTTTTTTTTGCAACTGAAACGCCCTTAATTAAGTGCCAATTAGGTGTAACAAATTCTATTTAAGAGACAATTCTTTATACAATCCAGATTTATAGCTGTTTATAATATTTTAAATAAATTAATGCGTTTTGAACAAACTTCTTAATTTTTGTAACTATGCCGAATTTACCGTATCATAGTGCCGAAAATACCATACTAGGTCGCTAATTTCGTCATTTTTGAGTATTTTGTAAAACAGGTTTTACGTAAAACTTTGTAAGTTGGAAACAATTTTTTAACTGTTATTTAATAGATATATCTGCAGTGCATCGATATGCATGGTTTTTTAACATTATTAAAGCAACCGTTGTCTATAAACAGCAAAATAGCTTAATACGCCGAAATTACCCTACTTTACCCTAGTAGTATACAACTTTAAAATAAATATCTTTTGAATAAATCACGATATCATATTGCTAATGCAGTAATAGTTGCATTTATTCTATTAGTAACAAAAATATAAAGGAAAGAATCCAGAATTTGAGAGTTAACATTAGGCAGCATTACAACTTACATATGGAGTGCAAAGTCCTATGGCTTACCTTCTAGTTGCACTTCGTTAAGTAAGTTAAACATTATGTCTAAATTACGAACAGAATAGCCAAGGCAAATTTTATATTTTAACATTATTTTACGAGAATTCTTTAAAAATAAATGAAAAACATATGTGTGCAAAAATTAAATAAGACGCTCAGATAAAAAAAACTGTCTGGCGGCGTCTACATAACGTAATTATCGGACGTCTTTTTGACGTAGACTAACCGACTTGTTAAATAGTCGCAATTATGACGCAATTTTCAAAATTTTAGCTACACCTATATAAAATCCTAGATCCGCCCCTGAGCAGCATTTATAAAAAGACAAGATAAAAAATAAATCATTATTACGTCACCATGAAGGAACGAAGCCTCAAAAGTAAATAAAATAAAACGAATAAAAGTATTTATTAAAGAAATTTATAACCAGATAAGAATTTGAAAGTATATAAACAATAACATAATAAATAAATTTCGGCTACGTAAAAATTAAATCAAATCATTAAATCTAATGATCGACCGAAATATAAAAAAAGCCGAAACCGAGATATATCGAAATTTCGAGTACTCTAGTTTGGTGCCGAAACCGAAATCGACATTTCGGCAAATATTTTACTGAGACCGATACCGACATTTCGGTTAGTCAAGAATAATTTCATTAGAAAATTTTATTTAAAAATGCAATTTTACATTTGTTGTTTTTTTATGTTAGAATTAATTACACGTGTTTCAGTAATTGAGATTTAATACATAAGTTAGCAATATAAGTTAATAGCGAGAGTTAACAACTGGCAGATTTTCTCTGCAAAACAAGATTTTTTCGAGGTATTTTGTAAAAAATACCTCGAAAAAATAGTTTCGAGGTATTTTGTGAAAAATACCTCGAAACAGAATTTCGGTCGATCACTAATTAAATCGTCATCCAAACTAATTTTAGCAGTTTGGCTAATAATTTGGTTTAAGAGTCGTCCATGAAATTACAACACGTTCTAGGAGAAAAGGGGTTAGAGGCTTTGTAACTTGTTATTAAAGAAACACGATATTGGGGACTTGTTATAAAAGAAACACAATATTGTGACGAGTAAGGGGAAGGAGTTTAAAAACGGGCAAAAATTGCCCGTTAAGAAATTTGTGGACAAAATGGTGCTGAAAAATTGTGGACGAAATAAGGTGAAGGAAATTGTTAACTGATCAATTTAAGTTTCGCTGATTTATATTATTTAAAATATTTTATATCTCAAAAACTGATATATAAATAATTCAAATTTTTCATTTTTTATTTTATTTATTTAAACTCAAAGAGAAATTTAAAACTGTTAACTAAAACTGTTATTTCTCGACAATGCAATTATTCAAAAAGCTACGTGTTGAAAATAAACCATTGGTGACCGTTTACTATTTTTGACCACCATGTTTAAAGTAGAGTTCATTGATAGACTCTTTAATATTTAGTATATTAAAAGTTGTTGCAAGAACTCCTCCAATCAAAGCAATGAAACAAATAAAGCCCATTATCAACTTTGGGCCTAATTTTGTTTCCGGATATAATTTCAAATAAAATGAAATAGGGAAAAAAAAACACAAAAACACATTTAATGATCCACCAATCAAATCAACAATTGGACCAAATTGTGGAAAGACCTCACACGTAGCACATACTAATAGCACAGCTAACGTTCGAAAATATATTCTTTGTCTTGAAAACTCTAAAAAAATTTTAATAAAACTTTAATTTAGAAATTCACTTATTTGACATAAACAATATTTCTTGTAAGAATAAATTAAATTGTTATTAAACATACTCATTCGTTAAATCAGTGCCGTGGCTAGAGGGTCTAAGTCCCTTCCCCCCAAAAAAAAACCTCCCGAAAGGACCTTAATTTCTTAAAAAACTTTTCACTAAGTATTACTAAAAAAAAAAACTTCTTAAATTTCCAAAGAAGCCCCCCAAATTTGCAAATAGCCCCCTAAATTCGCAGCTCCACCCCCTCTCCCCCATCAATTAAGGTGTGTTAGGTAGCCTAGCCACGTCTCCCTGTTTAAATTATACACAATAAGTAAAAATATACTCACCATAGGGTACATTGAAAAAACGTTCCATTTGTTGAACTAATGGATTTATAGTTAACACAAATGCACACAAAAAATGTGATGCAAATAATAGTTCTGCTGCTGCAACTATGCCATGATTCAAATTATGTGTATGATCATAATGAGTAAGCGTTTCTAGAATACTATCATTGAGATCTTTGCCAATAGTAAGAAATCCTCCAACAGCAGTAGGAATGTAAAGTAATCCTATTCCAGCATAACCAATTGATGCAGCTTGAACAAACTTAGTTGGATTTTTCATATCTGACTGTATAGTAGGAAACAAACCTGCACCAGTATATCCAAATACAATTGTTCCAAATGCAGATGAGAAAGAACGAGTAGTTACTGGAGCTTTTTCAACTGAATTTATTTCATTTGGTCGAATTAGGATGTATTTTGTTATAATCAGTATAACAGCTAAAGTAGTTGAAAAAGCAGCTCCAACACCAACAAACCAAAAATCTTTTGGAGTGCCCAACCAAGTAAATGGAATAATCACAACTGATATTATCAACAGCCAAATACGAAGACTTGAAATCCCAGGAGTAAGACCAATATGGAATGAATAGATGCTTTGCAAAATTTCTGCACACAGTATTAAATAAATAACGCAACCAAAAAATAGAACAGTATTCAAACAAACTGTAACTGCATGACGACCTTTTTTTCCAAATGCAATTTCACCAATGAAAGGATAAGGATCTCTGATAGGTTCAGTCTCTAAACGATGGTGTTTGGCACGTTTCCAAGCATATCCAAGCAAAACACCACAGTAAGTGCATACAAATAATAAAACTAACATTAATGGTAAACCTAGAAAAATTTGAATTAAATATTTGTTAAAATTGCATCAAAAATTTAAACAGAAATGTAATAAAAAAATGAACACTTCAAAACATGGACAAAACTAAAATTCTATAAATTCTTTTTAAAATGCTTAATTAAACTATTTGAAAAGGTTTTGTTAAATTCAACAAGTACTATTTATAAAAAAAATGTTAATGAAAACTTTAAATGCCCAACCATTTGTATTTGAGATGAACGTTAGGTCAAATTTTGTTTTTTTTGTTAAAAATATGTTTAATAATATTTTGCCTGTAATTTTTACTATTTTTAAACAAAACTTCACCTAGCCATCCTGTTTTAGACATTGCTTGAGGAAAAGTAACAACACCAGCACCACAAACTTCACCAACAATAAATATTCCAGCCGTAAGCACACCAATCCCATGAGCACTTATTTTATTGTTTTTATCACTGGAAAGCTGTAGCTTATCTTTGCTCGACTCTTCATTTTCATAAGCATCTGGTATCTTATTACAAACACCTGCTTCGTTTGTGTCATCTTTTGAACAATCTAAAAAAAAATTTTTTAAGTGTCTGATTTTTCATTTGCTTTTTTTAAATTGAATTTCATCTTTTTGTTAAAATGTGTAGAAAAAGTTCAATTTTTTACTTGTCTTTATAACCTGCTAGAAATAATTCTAAAAAAAAAAGAAAAACCTATGCAACCTCTAACCTGAGATTATTGATATTAAACTAAACCGATAAAAAAACTAGTAAATTTTTTTATGGTTTATCTTAGCTGGCTGCAAAATTAATAAAATATGCCTATAAAAACTCAGTTAGTTATACTTTAGAAAAACCGCAAATTCACTTTTAATCAGGTTTAACGTCTATCGTTCTGTTATAACAGAAAAATATCTAAAATACAGCAAAAGTTTTTGAAAAATTAAATAATAAATATATGAAAAAGCAGAAAAATAGTTCAAACTATAGAATTTGGATTACGAAGTCAGATTATTGTAAAAAGTTTTTGTGAAAAGCAAGATCTATAAAAATTACCTGTCGTCGTGACAGGTAAGTTTTGTAGATTGTCAGAACAAATTTTAACAAATTTTTAACAAATTATGGCTACCGAAAAATGTGTAACTGACCCCAGGTTTCAGCTTTGCAACCAGTAGGAAACTATCTGTCTATATTTATTTTCCAAAGTTTAAAGTTTGCGAAGTTTTCCGTTCCTAGTTTCTGTACTCTTTCTAGGATAGCGAGAGGGCGAATAATTTCCTTGTCAACTGTTGTCAACTGTTGTCAACTGTTGTCAACTGTTGTCAACTGTTGTCAACTGTTGTCAACTGTTGTCAACTGTTGTCAACTGTTGTCAACTGTTGTCAACTGTTGTCAACTGTTGTCAACTGTTGTCAACTGTTGTCAACTTTTGTGGTTCCATTAGCGATCTCTAGAGCGTTGATTAGTTATTTAATTTACTTTTTATTGCGGATATAAACATGCAGCTTCTTTGGGTCAGACTTTGATTACAAGCTAGTTGCTTTTTAAATCTGTATATGGCCAGTTCAGTGATTTTTTTTTTGCTTCTTTAAATGCGGCTTTTTGTTCTTTTGTAACAATTTGTGAGAGTGGTGCCCTGAGGCTCTATATTTGCGACATAACTCGCGTTTTCTTTTTACAGCTGCTTTGACTGAGGTGAACCATAACTCTTTTTTGGCGATAAATGGAGCTGTCGTCAATGGGATTTGTAACTTTATGGCTTCTTTATATTTTGAGATGAGTAGGTAGTAACTGTTAGCTGAGAGACTATTCAAAATTGTCTCCCAGTCTAATGCTGCTATGTGATTTGAAAATGCATTGAAGTTAGATTGGTTCCAAATAAAATGGGTATGATGAGTAGGCACGTAAGTATTGTTGTTATTTGCAACAGCTAAAGAGCTAGTGATGAGACAACCAGTGATATATTTGACCCATTTGTATGTCTCCGAAAGGTTTGTCTTTTTTAATTGTATAACTCAATCTGGATCATTAGTATTGATCAAAATTATAATATTTTTGCGATGAGCGGTACGTAGGAAAGGTTACCATCTAAGTGAGATGACAATCTTCTAGACATAACTGGAAATTGATGTTGCTCGGATGCTTGTTTGTTGCATTACTCACAGTATACATTTCAGAAAATAAGAACTTATGAAAATGAATTAAAGTTTATTTAAAAAAACAACTTTTATTAAATCAATTATAAGACTCACTATTCAAATAACCACAAAACGTTTAGCAATGTTTCTTTAACAAAACGAGCAACGCCATTATTTAAAATGTAACTACGAAAAAATCAGATATAAAAGTTCAAAGGCGATACTCAAAAAACTGAGAATCTTATTAAGAAAGCTGTTGAAAAAAAATAAAAACAAATGGACTCCACAAAAAATCTCATTTATAACAATCAGGACATAGCAAAAGAATCTTTAATTGCTAAAATATTTAATAGGATGTTTGTCATCGTATGTTCAATTATAGCATCAAAATTAAAACCCTGTTTGTTAAAATTAAACATATATATATAAGAAAAAATCTTTTTTTATTTTTATGATTATATATATGTATGTGTATATATATATATATATATATATATATATATATATATATATATATATATATATATATATATATATATATATATATATATATATATATATATATATATATATATGCTTTAAGAATTGAGTTTTCAGATTTTTCTTAGCTACCCACATACTTTTTGTTTCTTACCCACATACTTTATGTTTTTTTTTATAAAGAGATGAAAACTGTAATGCAATTGCAAAACTTAAAAATACATGCATAAACGTTTTTTTTAAAGTGAAAACACAACGATTTAAAAGCTAGTCAGTTTGAACTGACTAGTCAGTTTGAACAAAATAATTAAAGTGTGGAAAAAAGGTTCAGGTATTGCTACGTTCAGGTGTAAACTCGTAGTCATTTCTAAGTTTAACTCTAATCTGAACAAGCAGTTTGATTTATGGAAGTATAAATCTGGCATTGTTTCTTGTCAAAAAGAAAGTTTTAATTCTTGTGTTTTTTAAATACTCATATTTCTTTTAAATGCAAGAGATAGTATTGAGAATACATAAGTAAACAAATTTCTAAAAAATCATTAAATATGGAAGAAGTTGCATTAGCATCATTATAACATGACATATCAAATTGAAAAACTGTATAAATATATATATATATATATATATATATATATATATTTATATATATATATATATATATATATATATATATATATATATATATATATATATATATATATATATATATATATATATTTATATATATAAATGGATTAGCACGGCATAAAATTAAGTTTTAAGATTTTAAAGCTCTTTGTACACTCCTGTGTCAGTGTATATTCTGCATTATGATTTAAGGCTTTTAAAGTTTTTATATTTAGTTTGATAATTGTGAGTGTTTGCGTGTGTGTGTGTGTGTGTGTGTGTGCGTGTGTGTGTGTGTGTGTGTGTGTGTGTGTGTGTGGAAAATGTGTCAGGTAAAGATTGATCAAATGTGCAGGTAAAAACTTGACCGAAAAATGAACTTAAATACTCAGCAAACAGTTTTGCTCTATATTTTTGTACTTTATTTTTAGTTCTATTTTTTTAATCCTCTTCCTAAAACGCTCCAGTGAATCCTCCAGTTAATCGCTGAATCTTCAATCACTATTTTGTAACAAAGATAAAGAAGAGAAGGTGTTACGAGCGAAGGCAATACCTTCGATAAGAAATTAAAACTTCCTAGAAAGTACTGCTGTTTAATCAAGAGAATTCAAAAGTTAGCACTAACGCTGATACTATTGTTGAACTTATTGGTTAGTGTACTAATTTTAAAAACCTTTGCTCACATGCATGAATGATAAAGAACTTATTAAGTTCTAAGAAGTACCGACTAAAGTTCCAGAATTTCATGTAATGGACTATCCAAAAAATAAGTTGTTCAAGAAGCTATGAAAGCTTTTAATATAATATACGGACAAGAAAGACAAGATATGTTTATAAAGACAGGAATGGTTCACGGAGAACTTTTTCTTATTTTAGAAACAGAACTTGTTTAAGCTTTTTTAGTTCTACTTTTATACATAATTAGTATAATTAAGTAAACTCGTACAAATGACTTATAAATGATCCTATAAACAATGTTTAATTATTTTTCAAGTTTCTATTTTGATTATATTTGGGGTGGTGGTTTAGGAATTTTTTTGTTTTACTCTATATATTTTTATCATATATTATTGTTATGCAATATTTTGTATTGTTATGCAATATTTTGCAGCAAAGTATAGCAAAAAAAAATATCCCTGAGACACATGATACAGTTCTATGTTTGAAAATTGGAAGATAAAAAATTTATAGCTAAAATGACAATCTAGGCGATAATTACAAGTATTTGATGTCAAGGGTTTGATTAAAGATATATTTAAGTCAATCAGAATTATCGGTCAAAAGTTGTGGCAAATCACGTTTATCGCGTTTTAACTTTTTGTTAAAACCTCGGTTTTTTGAGGTCAAAAGTTTAATAACCTACAAATAAAAAATTTGTCCATTTTTTTTTTTTTTTTTTGCATAATTTTTATAAAAACACATTTAAAATTAAAATGTTCTAAACATTTACTGTAAAAAATAACCTGCTTATATGAATATATCTATACATATGGGCAATTTATTATATCTATCTATTTGTCTATCTAACTATCTATTTATCTATATGTGTATATATATATATATATATATATATATATATATATATATATATATATATATATATATATATATATATATATATATTTGTGTGTGTGTGTGTGTGTGTGTGTGTGTGTGTGTGTGTGTGTGTGTGTGTTTAAACAATTTTAAAAATGAATTCTACAAAATAGAGTAATCAATTTTTTTAAAAGAACAGAGCAATTATAAATTAGTAGAAAATCACTTAAAAAAAAAATTTTTTTGTTAAGTGATTTTCTACTAATTTATATATATATATATATATATATATATATATATATATATATATATATATATATATATATATATATATATATATATATATATATATATATATATATATATATATATATATATATATATATATATATATATATATATATGTATATATATATATATATATATTTTATATATGTATGCACATATAGTTCTTTGCGTACTTAGCCTCGCATAAAGCATCAATAAGACATGCAGTCAAAGCAAATATTATTTTTCAAACGTAGAGTTGATTTCATATTCGAAAAAAAATTGGAGATTATAATAATAAAAAAATACCATATAATGGTGGATAGCTGTATGTATTTTCCTTTTCTTCCATGACCAATAACTATTATTCAAAACTATTCATACACAATATACACATGTAATTTAAAACTATTATAAGTGAGAGAGTTTTATTATAAAAAATGTTAGTATTTATATTTATTATAATTTAATTGAAATATAATATAAAAAATTAGATTAGAAGTAATTTAAAAAACAGCAAGTTTAATTTATTTATATTATTTTTCATGTTTGTTTAAATGATTATTATAAATAATTGACTGCACATTGATGACTAATTAATTTATTCAATGTTTTATAATATTGATTTTGTAACAAATAAGGCTATAAACATTTATTTGCTCAAAAATGGCTAAAAATGTTTAAGCTGAACTAACTCAACTAAAATGTTAAAAATTGACAACTGAACATTTAATCAAATGCTGAAAAATAACATTAATGGACACACATCCCCTAACCACTAACATATTGACACATGCAGTGTGCAACCATCTTAATAACTAATTTTAAATAACAGGTAGAGTTTTTCTTGATGTTAGTTTTACTTGATTTTTTTTAGAAAACATAAACCATAATGATGAAAAACATGGTTGATGTGTTCAAAAAAATATCACGTTTTTCATGACGAAAAAATTTGATTTTTTTAAGTCATCAAACAAACACGTGACACATGATACTTTTTATCAATCATCAAATAAAGTGAAGAAAGTTACAAATAATAATATTATAAATAGTTTATGGCAAGTAGAGATGTTTATCGTCAGTTTTTTATCAAAAATTTTATGTATTTGATTATCTAAATGTTTACCGTAAATTCAGCATTCAAACATATTTTTATGGAGAAGATAAGTAAAAATAATCAATAACTTAATTAGAAAATAGCTACATTAAAACATGTGTCATATTACAGTTCATATACATCTTGATATAGTCGCTTACTTATTACAAATAACAAATCAAAAACAAACAAAAAACATATTATGTTAACCATTTGATTTAGGTTTGACTAGTTTATAAGTCTTTGCAAGGATGTCATTTATTAAAAAAAAACCGCTGCAGTATTTAATATCTTTACGTAAAATTTAAATTTTTTTTTATTTATATCTCAAACATTTTTTTTTCAGGATTTTATTAAGTCTTATTTTATTTACTTTTTATTTTTTATTATGCGCTTTGATTATTTAATTTTAAAATTTTAAAGTTTATTATATATCTATAGATTATATATTTAACAAAATATTATTCATACTTTTTTTAAATATTTATTAAGTTAAAAGAAAATGCGCAAATAGTTTGTTAAAGGCCTTCGCAATAAGCTTTATGGAATATTAAGTAACTACTGATTGCGCGCAGTTTTACAGGACCTGAGGTCGCATTGACACGAGAGTACTTGGCCGAGAGTAAAAGTTTTATTAAGTAAGGCCTTAGACCATGGACCTTATTCTATAAAACTTTTAAAATAGTGAATTTTTACAATCTAACAGCTCTGAAACGCTTGTAACTACATAAAAAATTACAATGTAAATTTAACTCGTCTTATAAACGATAAAATATTTCATATAATTGGCGTTTTCATGTAAAACAAAAAATAAATATTTGTAAAAAGTCTTTTGTTTTGCACACTTGTTTTGAAACCTAGTTTTATGTTAACCCGTGTATGAATGAATTAGAATATGAATTAAAAAAAGATATTGCTTTGCTTTGAATGACATTTTTATAAACGGACTTTTATACGAAATTAGTGATCTTTTGAATTTTATAAAATCCATTTGAATTTGAAGTTAAAAAAATTCATTTTATAAATGAATTTTAAAATATTTGCAATGAAAATTGATTTAAAAGGCTTTTTTTAATATTCCATATTTGGGCAAACAAATGAAACTCAAATAGCTTGCAAAAATTAGGCAACATACACAGTATACAGCACATACAAGCATACAGCACAGTATTTTGTCTTGAGATACCAGTTAAGAAGTTAGATAAGCTTACGTTCCGATTTTGAGACACATAGTTGCAATATTAAGTAAACATTAACACACATGATATGTTTAGCATTAACAAACTCTTGTATTCAAACTCTCAGAGACAGATTCAAATAATTAGAGTTTTTACAGCGCCATGTTGTACATGCATGGTGCCTCTATTTGTGTCTTTGATGGGCGTTATAGTGAAACACCATAACCTTTTGTGTACTAAGTGCAATGTATATTTGAGTCAAGCTTTCTTTAACAATTTAAATAATGGCTATTGTGTCAAAAATATTAAACATAAAAACCATTGTCACTATAGAATTGTTTTAATCTATTTTTACATCAGTAAAATCTTACACCTTGCAAAACTCAACGGTCCTACTTATTCTTTGTAAAACTAATTTAAGTTTTATCTTTAGATCTTAGTGATAATGGCTGCTATTTTCTAATTTGCAAAGACTCCAACAGCCCCACGTGACTGAGAGTCCAACAGCCCACGTATGGTTTTAGTATGTAATTGCGTAATCAATGTGAGTTGAACAACTAATAAATTGATACGTAACATATCTTGTGTTAGGCATCATCATAAGACCTGAAATTTTGCCCACTTTCTCTATAAACTATTTTAATCCATTTAACAGACAAATTTTTTAAATATCAAACTAAGTAATAAGTTTTCTTTTAACAGAACATATTTTATAAATGAAAAAAATTGGTGTGACAAGGTATAACTACAAAGGTTCATTATTTTAAGATTACTAAATCTTTTTTTTGTTTTATTTTTGATGTTATGTTTCAGAGGCTAATATTAGAAAATCTTTAATAGTGTTATTAATGAAGACAATTCTAATATTCATTCTTCTTACATGGGTTTGACGCTATAACCTATATATTCATCTCTTGAATCTAATTAAAACGCTCTTCTTGGCATCTCAGATACAAAGGGCAAATTTTTGTGAGACATTCTAATAACCACAGCGTCCATTGCTTAAGCTTACCGTCCATTGCGTGTGGTCAAGACAATACTTTTATCATATTCTTTTAAAAGTGTTTTTTTAACAAGTGTTAATTGTTTTTTCATGTCTGTTAAAAATCAGCAAAAATCAACTTTTTTTTGAAAAACTCTGAATATTGTTCTGACTCTTTCAAACAGGGCTGAGGTGAGGGGAGGGCAACCGGGACTACAGCCCCGGGGCTTCCGTAAAATTAGAGTCCTCACAAAGAGAGTTTTCGTTTGAAATTTTTTTTCGCATTTCACCTACAGTACTCTGTACAAACATGATTAAACTAAATGTTAACGGAAAACATTTATCTATATTTGTTCACTCCAATCAAGTAATAAAATATCAAAATCTCAAATGGCCTTAATAAACATGTGTCGTGTAAGCGCTCAGGCAAGCGTGTAACGGCCCTCTGTCTGCAGTACCTTGGATTGAACGGTACGCAAAGCAGTGGCATATAACGCATATCCTTAAGCGAGTAACGGACGCCTGACTGAATGGCGTGCAATAATAAAATAACAAAATCGTTTTCCAACAGAAATCATATATGGCTTTCTATCAAACACAAATATAATACGATATTATATTACACAATGCTATATATATTCTTACTCCTGATACAATATTTTCTGTTTTCTCACTTCTGATTTACTTATTTACCGCTATAAACATCTTATTTGTCCTTGTAACGAATACTGTTGTCATATTTGGGTTGATTTTTCTCATAAAGGCCTTTTTTTTTACACAAATTTCAAAAACTCGTTGTAAATGTATTTTATCCGCTTAAGCTTATTTTGCTGCTTGAGCCTCTATCTTTGAGGTTGCATCACTTTCTCATTTCCATAAATACCATCATGGTTGCAGCGATCATGGTGGTATTTTTAAAAATAAGAATATTTATATATATAAATATATATATAGGAGAAGTGGGGGTATAACCGCCTCTGTAACGTTTGGATTGATATTAAGTTATGCTAATATCTAAAATGGTTTTTACTTGATGAAATAACGCTAACAACACATATCTTTAACTCTAATATCAAATATTGCTGAATTCTCAAAATAAAGGTCTGGAAATATACGATGTAAATATAACATTTTTATCAAAATAAACATTATTATGCACAACTTCTTAGAAACGCATCAGGCACTTTTTTTGACATAAGCGTAATGAAGGAAACTGTTTTACCAACGCGTGGTATGTTTTTTGCCATATTAAATAACATTTTTCAAAAGGAAATGTTAAAAAACGGTTGTGCCTCCATATGCGGTTATGCTCCCACTTTCCCTATATATATGTATATACACACACACACACACACACACACACACACACACACACATATATATATATATATATATATATATATATATATATATATATATATATATATATATATATATATATATATATATATATATATATATATATATATATATATACTTACTCATTTCTAAAAATACCATCACGATCACTGCGACCATGATGATATTTGTGTGTATATATAATATATATATATATATATATATATATATATATATATATATATATATATATATATTATATATATATATATATATATATATTTAGTATATTTTGCTGTTTATAAACAAAATACACTTACAGATAAGTTTCACTTAGTAAAAATCAGTAATTAAACTATTTTTGAAAACAGACCGGGAATTAAAGATGGGTGAATCTCAAATATTTCATAGGTTCTCATAGTGTAATAAAGTCAAAAAAGTTATAAAAACGTATTAATAAATGTAACTAATAAACTACTGATATAATAGGCCGGGTGAATAAAAATGAGCAATAGCTTTTACTCAGTAATTGCTTTACGTAAATAAAAACTTTTGCAATTTTACTTAAGTTTCTACTCACGTAAAGCTGAGCAATTACTGAGTAAATTGCTTAACTTTACGTGAATAAATTTTTGACCAAAACTGTTGAAGTTTTTGTTCACGTAAAGCTAACCAATTACTGAGCAAAAGTAGTTGCTCATTTTTATTCACTCGGCCTTATGTATAGATATTATATAATAATATAGGGTTAGGCGGTTTTAGCAGGTTTTTTAGCAGGGTAAGGCGTCATGTTTTACTTCAACAAAACTGAATTTGCATATAAATAAATTGTTTTTTTTTAGTTTAATACTTTTTTTTTAT